ATCCCCATGATATATTTCTTGGGGATGATGTATAATGATACATTCTCTTAAGGAAACTGTTAAAAGCCTAATTTGCAAATAAAACCCACTGGGAAGCTGCTGTTCCTTTTTTTAATGAAATGTGACTCCCTTACCATGAGTTGTCAAAAGAGGGGAGGAAGACAGAGTAACTGCTGAATAAATGAAAGATGTGTGTCACATTCCTGTGTGCCTGTGGTCACAGGAAAACTGCCCTTTAATTGTGTGGGGAATCTCATAGCAGAGATTTCATAAATGGAGCAGGCTAATCAACAGATAAATGACCAAAGAAAGCAACTTTCTTCTTTGCTTTTTAGGACTGACTGAAATTAAACACCCACTCCTTTTCTGCTTTCACCTTCAAAAGTCTAAAACTACCGTTGGGTCTTAGGCAAAAGAGGTGATTTTTGTCCATTGAGCTAGTAGGTTAGCAGATAGTTACTCAACTAATGTGTTATCCCCAAAGCATTTTATTATCAGACATTAGAAAGATCAAAAATATTAAATTCTCGTGATGTTAATTCTGAAGTTGATTTGAAGCTAAATCAATATTGAACCACATCTTTCTTGTGGGGGTATTGTAAAAATCTTAGAGTGGGACTGGTTGTTAGTAGAAGAGCTGGTATTTTTCTATTGCCATACCAGTAACTTTGGTTATTCTATAAAAACATTGCTCATTATTTTAATGCTAGCTCTGTAATTACTTCAGTGCATAGTTAACTATGATCACTGCCTTTCTGGGTGCTTTTGGTTTTAGAAGGGTGGAAAAAGGCTGAAGAACATTGCTGAAACTGAATCTGTCATCTGTATTTGTTTTAAGTTGCACCGTAGTGATTTCAGTAGGATGGTAAACATGAATGTGGATTGTGGATCTGAGCCATGAATTCTTAACATTTTTAACTAACCTAGATTGGCTTTTTTCTTAACTGTCATATTGCAGTAGCTCTTATCTATGGTGTTCCACTAGCCTCTTAGAAATTTGGTAAAAGAGCATGTCTTCACTTGCTAATTTCCATTGTCCTTAGTAAACTTTTGCTGTCTGGTGTTGTGTTGCGCTGAACCTGCCAGTCTTTGTTTTCCTGTCTGCATATTTGTTTCACAAATCATGTCAGATGAACTTTGGAAATACCACTCCTGGGTTGTTGGTGTCAAAAAGCCAGGAGTGAATATAAAATGTTGGCACAATTAAGATTACTTGTATTGCTGGCTTGCCAAAGCTGCAGATGCTGTAAATCAAACTAAAATCTAATGGTCTAGAAAACCTGATACCTGGTATTTTTTTAAAGATACCTATTTCTTTTTAAAAGTTATGCTTACAGACTTACAATGTTGATGACATAAAGGTAGGGTGGAAGCCTGGTTTTCCTCACTTGTTCTTACCATCAGTCAGCAGTTGAAGGAAATTGAATCGCAGCCTTTTCCCTGCTAGGGGAGTTCTCTTTCATTCTTCTCCCCGCTTTCTCTCTGCATAATCCAATTTGTTTCTCGAAATTACTCCTCATCCTCAGTTGCACATTATTCTGCCACTGTTTGGCACTGAGTTGAGGCTCTTCCTGTTACGATTTCATTTCCATTTTAAGGCATCGTTGCAGCAGTGTTTTGCTGTTGGAAGAGGGCTTGCTGCGATTTCCATGTGACCATGCTCATTGGTGCGGTCAAGTAAACTTGCTGACAACTGGTACACTGTGTTGTTCCTTTAGGAAGCACTGCATAGTAGTAACGGTATAGGTACAGTGTTCATAATTGCTTCTGAGGGTTAAAGGAAAAAGCAGTGCCAGTTGTTTTTCCCTTCTAACCTCTATAGTGTTCTGGAATTCTAACAGATTGGTTTGTAGTTCTGTTCTTAGGTAGAACATCATCCGTGGCCCAGGAGGAGCAGGAGTGAATGGCTACTTTATACATTTGTTGCTGTTTCCCCAGGGATGCTGAGGAAGTCCTATTGTTATAAACAATGGCAAGAGTATAGCCTGTATAAGTTTGTCCTAGCAAGGAACCTTGCCACTGCTGTACAAGCCTCACTGGGCATGACTTCAAGGCTGGAATCCTTAGATGATTGTTAATGCCACCCTCTGTTTGGCATTTGCATGCAACTGGCTGCAAAGTAAAGCATTAAAACTTTATTTTGTGTCAGAAATACTGCCAAAAATATGATACTGATTTGAAGTGTTTTAAAAGTAAGGCGCTAGTGTGGAAATGAGGAAGTGTGTGAGGGGGGAAAGTGATTCAAGAGAGTAGTAGAGAAGCAAAGTGAAAAGAAAAGGGCAAGAAAAACAGTTTAAATTATAATAGCCCTTTGTACAGTGGCTTTAGTCTCAACAAATTACTGTTATTAATTTGTATTTCCAACCTAGTTGTTATGATTTGACTGCCATCTGTACTTGTCTCCTGTGATTTCCTTCATAGTAAGCCTGTAACACATGAATTGCTGTAACGTGACAGGCAGTCATGATTCACTAACTGGTATAGAGGTACTGGGATAAATACTTATTTACAATCACTATAAGTATGTTGGCTATAATTAGTCCCATACTGACTAACAGGCAAGCCATTTGCCAGCTTCAGAGGGTTATATACAACTCCATTTCTCGTAACTTTGAGTTGCCAGCCATTATCTGTTTCTATTAATTTGAGGTATTTTTCATGTTTTCTTCTAACAATCCTTTCATTCCCTTTAGTCCAGTTTTCCTTCATTTGAAATCACTGTAAGAAAAAGTTGGCCTCGTCTATCACTTCCTGCACAACATAAATTCAGTTTCTATTTCCTATTTATGGGTCTGGTCTCTCTTTGTTTGCCTACATGGAGGAATGCCAGACTCTGTTCCCTTCTTGTTATAAGCAGGCATGTTTTAAGAGCAAAGAGCCTTGCTAAGCTAATAGGAAGAAAGACCAGAGGAAATAGAAATTAAATAGGTGAGAAAAGGTGGTATTGATTACCTTAGGAATCAACAGGCTCCAAAGTTGAGGAGTTTATTATTAATATATCTTGATAACTAACTTGTAAGCAGCAAGCACCTCCAGCTTCTGCAGTATATGGAGAGAGTTTGGTGTTCTCAGAAGAACAAATATAGCAGTCAATCAGTGTCAAAAGCTAATGTGCAAGGATTCATCATTTCTAAATGCATTTCATTGTTTCAGAATTCTTTAGCAAATATGAAAGCATAATCTGCTTTTATACTACATTTTTGGGGGGGGTTGTCACTTTCACTGTGGCTTCTTGTTCTACATTTGTTAGCATACGGCTGAATGATGAATTAATGGCAAGGGGCCCGTTGCACAGAAAGTAGCCTCCACAGATGTGTCTAAAGAGTAGGTTATATTTCACCTAGATCTTATTATAGATTTCCCCCCCCCCACAGCTCATATATTTAATGGGAACTTTATTTGTATCTCAAGACACTGTTCCTTACTGGTAGAAGGCCTTGTAGACCTAAAAGACCAAACTGAGACAGGAAGATGGAAGGCTATATAAAGTAGCATTTTTTAATACAGTTTCCAGCATATGAGAGTCAACACTGTTGATTTGTCTTCTCAACAGATTTAAAGAGAAGCTGGAAGAAAAACAGTGGGGTTACTGCAGATAGTTGCAGATAGTTCTTCCAATTGCTTTTACTTGGGAAGAAGAAGAAGTTAAACTTGTTTGAAAAATTGAAAAAGGTCCATTGTTTGGAAATGGAAAATGGGAATCCTTGTGATCCTGAATAGTGTGCTCTGAGGAGCTTATGTGGTAAAGAGCCTTGAAAGTGAAGTCAAGTTGGCTTAATTGATGAGAGAGACAGTTGGAAGAAGTGAGTTATAAAATGATAAAATTTGGAGTCTATGAAAAAGACTTTGCTGCTGTGCTCTGAATGCCTGGGAGCAGAACATGATTGCCATTTTCAAGGCAAAACGAAGTGCTGTAATGATCAAGACATGAGCTGTGAGCTTGGGCAAGTGCAATGGAAAGGTGTATTTCAGAGAAAAGGTACACATTCAGCATGACTGGAAGTAAGTAGTTAGGAGAAACTAGAGAGATCTAGATCAGATGGAATGCTGGGCTACAGAAGAACAGTGGTAATGGCCCACAGTAATCATGAAAGAGATATTTTAGACATTTTGAGGAAGAGCTTTCAGAGCCCTGTTTGTTGTCAACAGACAGCTGGGATTTCACAGGAAGGTATTGTGCAGCTTCAAATTTCAACAGACAAGTTTCTCATTTCATCATTTGCTATGCTCTGTTTAGGACTTCTGGTTGTTTTCAACAAAAATGTTGCATGAATAGGACTAAGACTGAAAGTTTTAACCAAGTTTCTAATATGAAATCTGTTGCTTTAAAAATATCATTACACTAAAGATCTCTCAGACAAAAGCAAGCAAACTGCAATTGGGGATAGAATGGTATCAACCCTATCGGCCTATTTCCTCAGCAAGAGGATGGCTTTTCTGAAATCAGATAGGAAATACCTCTTAAATTTTTTCTAAAGCATTTTGAAGTTTAGTTTTTACAAAGAACTCGCATGTGTCAGGTTTCAATAATATTCACATTCAGTGGAATTGCAGTACTGAGGTATCCTTGGATTAAATACTTGGATATATACTGAACAGAAGAGAGGCATTCACTCTCTTTGTGACTTTGTGTTTCTAAAGAATCTCTTCTGAGGAATAAAAGTATGCCAAATCTGCAAAAAAAAAGCCCTGAAAAACTAGAAAATTATGTTCATTGTTCTGTTATCTCGGCTTTCAATGTCATTTATGAGTACATAAGAACATGTTGTTGATTGAAAGGATTTTTGCTATTTCAGTTATGTAATTATGGGGATGCCCTTGAATTATTTCATGCCAGCTAAAAACTCCTCACACCTTTAAAAAATAATCTTTTGTCAGCTAGGTGGCAAAAGGTAGAAAATTAAAACTTGAATGTTAATACAGCTTATTCTGTAAAACAAGTTATTAAAATATTTTTTGTAACACTTAAATCTAAAAGCAAGCCTTTGTTTTTCTTTCAGATGAATGTCTGTAGGTTACGCTTAACAGTACCACCTGATGAAGGCTCACAGCCTGAACAGGGAGCAAAGGAACCTGAAAGAAAGAAAAATGTAAGTTTTAAGAATCAAAGTTCCACAGAAGGTGATATTAGTTGTTTTGGGAGCCCAAAGTTCAGTCATCTTGGAAGACTGAAGAACATGTGGAAGCTGAACAAGTCAGCTGTGAGCTTTGGGCCTGAGCCTTGAAGTTAGGGTTAGCAAAACTGCATGTAAAATAGGACGGTAGTAGAGAAACAGCACAAACATTGTAGGTAATTTGTGACTGAGGTACCTTTAAGACTTGGTTATTTAATATTTATATATTAAAGAGTAGGAAACTGCTATCAAGAGCAGGATCTTGCATTAAACAGGATCCTGATCCTCACTTGAAGGGGATTTTATGTTTCATGTAGGCTTAACAGTGTGCAAGATTTGAGTTTTAATGTGTATGGGAGCTGGCTGGCCTGGGACTTAGATGTTTTGCTGTGTTGACTAATTTTGGTAATGGGCGATGTACAATAAGAAATACGAAATAAAGAATTCAAGATTTTTCTGAAGTGAAAATGATTTGAAGGTCATGTGTGTAGAAGGGTTTAGAAGGGTAATTTTTATGTAGAAGCAAGTAGTATGCACACAAAAAAATCTTACAGCTGCTTTGGTGCAGAACTTGTTCTTTAAGAGCTGTTTTGGAGTGATACATGATGTTTAATTTGTCTTAAGGATGGAGTCTAAAAAGGGAAGCTGAACAGGCTCCACATTTACACTTTTGATAAACCAAAATCAAACAACAAGTTGGCTAAGTTTACCAGACCTAATGTCTGAATAGCAATATGACAATAGAAAGCAAAACAACAATAGGATTTATTTGAAACAATTTCTTAGTGGTGCTCAGAAGCAAAAGTAACTGTAAAATGACTCAGACAAACATTTTAAAGCAATAAAAATAAATGCAAAGTAAAATGGTCAAGATAAAGATTCCTTATCAGATAGTTCTTGTGCTGGAATCTTGTTTAAACTCAGCTTTTCATACACTGCTCTGGCAGAGTAATAGGTCCTTGAGGGTCTATGAATGTTACTTACAAAATGGAGTAGAGAGACCTTAATACAAGCTAAATTTGGGCCAGCATTCAATAGTAATTATTCATTTTGTACAGTGGTGTCTAGTTGAAGCACTTAGAGTAGCTTTCCCCACTACTTACTCTGTCAGTCTCTTGTCAGTTTGTGTCTGATTGCAGAAACTCTCAGACTGGCCTAAGCGTATGGGCCCGTTGCCTTGAGTAATGTAAGTTTGGTTTTGAGGAGGGTAGGTATTTGACTCATGGCTTACTCACTTTACTGTGCTGAGTAGTGTAATAATAAGAAAGAAGTGTGAATGATAAGGGCATGGACAATTTGTAGTGACTGTCTTGTGTGACCATTTTTTTTCTCTGTGGGTCCTTGTATTTAATGAGAGGTATATTTCCCCCATAATACAAGTAAAGGCAAGTAGGTTTTATATCAGAGAATGCTAAGGAGAGGATGTGAAAGGTAATAAATACATTATTGGGCTCATCTTACATTCCAGTATATAGCACAGTAATTTTTAGAGACGGGTCCTTTTTAGTTGAGACCCCATAAAATGGTATGTCATTTAATTATTGTATGTTCTGAGTAGTTTTTTAAAGTTCAGTACTTCTACACAATTTAAAGACTTTTAGAAAGCACACATACAGCCTTCAGAGCTAGATGGGATATAATTAGTCAGTTTCATAGCAATTAGAAAACACAGGGTAATTGTGCCATCTATTTGTGTTTTATGGTTTTTGTGTAATTAAAAATATAGCCCTACAGATTGTATAGTCATAGTGCGTAGAAGCAGCTACAAAAAAAAAATCACTGATCGTGAAGTGTTTTTTTCTCATGTCTTGGAAACAAGTAATGTATTACCTGTAGATTTTTATTGTCTTTGTAATGTATTGCTTTATGTATTTGAATTAGTTACACAGTAACTTACAGTGCACACAGGACTCTGAGTAGTCAGGCTGTGATACTTTCATCTTACTGCAAAATTTAATTAAAAAAGAAAAAAACATCTTCTAAAAACAGTGATCAGGTATCTCTGCTGATCCACCCATGTTCCACTGACTCAATGTTAATAAAAAATAGGTTTTACAAATGTTAGATGATCCTCACACAGTCCTATGAGAACTGAGCCCTCTTCTTGGAAATAGGGATGACAGAAATTAGGCAACTGTTCAGTTTTCTGCCTTGCACTTCACAATTTCAGGTCAAAAAATACAGCTTCACCATGGATGAAATGTAATAGCAGGTGTCTTGTTGGAATCTAGAGTTCTGTGCTGTCTTTAAATGCTGAGTATTAAGAAAATGGGAACATGGAAAATGGTTTTGGTATTTAAAATACACTCATGTGATTTAAAGATTACCCCTGCAGTTCATTTCTCTGAGACTGTACAGCTTTTGCTGGGGCACTTGGATCAGGCAGCCTGAGCCTGGCTACCAGCTGCTCTCCTGTTTCAGCAGGCACACAGCTAAAAAAACTGCCTGCTGCTGGAGACTGAGGATAGCAGAGACCTTGCTGTGTGAAAGGGAATGCCAGAAAACTAAAAATACACCATGGTGTGACATTTGGTTGCAATCTCCTCTTTCAAATCTTTCATTAGAAGGAGGTGATTTTGAGCTGCCCTAATGTGAGATAGTGATGGCTTACTGACTATTTGTTATTTGTCTGTATCTTTCTGGGGCTCAGTACCATTAAGAGATGTTTCAGTTGCAAAATCAGCTGGTGAACTGCACAGGAGTTCTTGTTAGCACTGATCCTCCCAATAACTTGTTCTGGAGCTTGATGTCAGATCAGAACTGATTCTTTATTGGTTATGTTAGTAGCTATTAGCTTACTGTTTTTCATTGTAGTCCAAGTTGATCAGAAAATGTATGCTGTATTTAATTAAATCCGTATCAGTGCATTAAGTTTCTAGATTGACTTTTTTATTGCTAAACATCCATGAAATAAAAATGAACCAGCGTAAGACATTAGAACAAACTGATGGAGCTGGGCAGTTTTGTTGCAACAAAATTGCTGCAGACATCACTGTACTAGGATGGCTTCTCCCTATCGTTTGTGAAAGGCTGGCAGATGGTACACAGTTAGAAGTTGATCTCAAAAACTGAAGGGGGAGTGAGCTTGTGTTCCAGTGCGTCAGGCTGGATTTTTATATTCATATTTAGGCTATGAAAGAAGCATGTTAGAACTGAAGTCACAAGTAGAGACTGGTTGTTTTGTTTGTTTGCTTTTTACAGGCTAAAAGCCTACTGTTAAATATCTCTGAATTGCTAGCACTTTAGGTAGAGAAAATCTGAAACTATCCTGATTTTGTTCCATTACTTCTGTTAATGATAGACAATGGATGACAGTAGTGTGAGGCTGTTTACCGTGAAGTACAAAGGAATATTGTGCTCGGGGATTGCATGCAAAATCTGCATGTCCTGAAGCCTGTCTTGTCTTGCATAATAAAGGGCTACCAGGCAATTGTATTGTCCCTGTTTGGGACTGGGCTTATTTTTATCCATCAGTCCCTTTCTTCACTGTCATGGCTAAATTTGGAAGCGTCATTGAAAGCTGCAGCTAGGCATTTGAGGGCAGAATATGGAGATATGTATAGACAGATTTTTCTTTTTTATTTTGACACATGGACAAGAGACTGAAAACGAGATAACTCTCTAGAAATTTGTGTCACTTTCCTGTCTGTATGGCTCAACAGAGTTTGAGCAGTGTTTAGTCTTAAACTCTCTAAACTTTGGCTGTATATATCCTCAAACTCTTTAATTTTCTTATGTTTTTCAAGCATCACAACCAAGAGGTGAAACTCTTTATGCTTCCTAAGCAGGAATACAGATGCTGAGCAAATATTTTTTTTCCCAGCAAAAAAAATAGTCTATAAAGAAGCCAAAAGGGGAATTTGCTCCAGTATGCAATGGAGAGAATCAAGTAGAAACTTGCGTCAGCCCTGGATCAAAGAATATGAGTGAAATGAACATGGGGCTGTTGTGCACAATTGAATCTAGGACAGTGCCTGTTTGCTCTGCTGCTGCCAACCCACTCCTCCAGCATAGCAGAAGTTGTGTCATAACAAATGTGGTTCACCTGCTACAGGTGGCTGATGCTAGTGTTTCTCAGCCTCTCCACCACTGACTGCTTGATTTTTGATGTGTACTAATTAAGTGACACCTTCATTAAAAACAGCACTACATGAAGACTACAGAAAGAATTCCACTGACTTCTGTGGTTACTGCTGTATTTGTTGTATTTTCTTAGTGTATAAATATTGGTGTTCTGTATACAGATTTCATTGATTAGATATGACTTTGTATAATCCCTATCACTTCTGTTTTTTGAGATAGGCACCTCAATTCTACATTTCAAGGAGCTTAAAAGTTGGAATGTGTTAAACGATGCTTCTTATTTAGCATCATTAATTTAAGAACACCCATGTCTATGTCTTGGCATCTTTTCCCCATTTTAATACTATTTATATATGAAACATCCCTAAATGTAACATGAGTTTCATGGGCTGTAGAGGAATATGAAAAAACATAGAAACATAGCTACCTGTTGTTAGAGCACAGTAACTTTCCTTGGTGAGCTCAATATTATAAATTTATCATTTTACTGAACAGAAAATATGTAACCTAATTAACAATATATATATTCAATATATTATATTGTATAACCAGTGAACAAGCAAAAGGTAACTGGGTATTTCAGAAATCTCTGGAATGTGGCTGTTGAGGAAAAGATAAAGCCTCACTTAACTGATATCGTTCTCGTTAGAAGGCGTTTTAGGTGGTGTAGGTAAACAGAACATCATGGTTTAGAAAAAGTTTAAGGCCATATGAGTACTAAACTCAGAATTGTGCTAATCATTACATTAGATGTCCTTTTTCCTCAAAATAAGATACCTCTTCTGTAGTTCTGCTTCAATTTTGGGGCAGAGAGAAAGTATAAAGTATGGGGCTATCTAACTTTCATTTCAAAAACTGGTGGAGATAGATTAGGAAGGAACCCATCCCTCAGTGTTATTTACATAATGCCAGTAAAACCATGGGCAATTCAAAACGTAGCTAACAACTTATATTTAAGGTTTGTTTTTATAGTGTCTTTGCTTTACCCGTTTCATGCTACTTCCTTGGACAGAGACATAAACAGGATGCATGGCAATTATCAAGACTTTTGCAACCTTGGGGTGTAGGCTTCTCTTTTAAATATTTGTTAATTAAGTAAACACAGTCTGTGTTTCTTTACTACCTGCTGTGTGATCACACCAAGTGCAACATGACTGTTGCTGGAACATAGACAAAGCATGTTCGTGGAGCTGCTATAGTATTTGTGTGCATCAACATGATGTGTTCTTGCTGTTACCTTGGGCTGTCATATAATTGACTATAGGTACCAAGAAATATTCACAAATATTATTGCTTAAACTAAGTCTGCCTTTTCAGATCAGCAGTTCCCATTAGAGGGGATTTTGATCACAACTGGGACCAACAACTGTGTTCCAGTGCAGCAAGTGCGTAAGCAGGTGGGGAGCAAGACTTCCCTGTACTCTGGAGCTGGCTGATATTTTGACCCTAAATAGCAATGGTTAACTAATCTAATGAAACCTTCCATCTTCAAGCACTTTTGTGGTTAGCTTTACAGTATTTACTTGTTCTGTTATCATCACTGAGATGCCTCACTGCAGATCAGAGTGGAGACAGGTAAGGACCTTCTCAGAAAAATACCTGAGTTCTGATAATGGATATGTAGGGGACATAGAGGGGAAAGCAATGAAAAGTATTTGACTTAAAAAAAACCAAAACATTCTGTAGTCCTTGAGGATGTGGAAAATCCAGGATTTGTGGAAGAGGAAACATAGGAGAGAGAGGATGTGACAGCGGAAGAACAGAGGCCAAGGCAGAAAAGGAAAAAGCACTGAAGGGAGACAAATAAACAAAGGTTGGTGGAAGTAGCTTAAGAGAGGAGACAAACTGGCAGAAAATATACTTGATGCAGTTCTGTGGAGCAGTTTGAGAACTGAGCCATTCAGCAAGGCCTCCTTTAGAGGCAAAGGTGTCGCTTCTCTGACAAAGGCATCTTGGGAGTCTTGTGCAAATATAGACAACAGGCAAGTTTTAGCATTGTTGCAAGAGACATGTGACCAGTCTGGCTTTGTGCATACTTAATCCTGCATGTACTGCCCATTATGATGTAAATTTAAGTCTGTTTGTGAAATACATGCCATGAGCGATTCTCCAGCTGCAAACCCATTGGTCTGAATTTGTAGGTCTTACTTAGAGGAGAAAAAAAATCCTTTGAAGCATTCCTTAGGAATGTGTTTATAATATGTTAAAAATAAGGATCTTGGTCATAATTTTCATACAGAACTCTGCAAACAGCACTTTAAACAATTCTGCTAATGTTTCAGAGGCACAAAGGATCTTGGTAGTTGCTGGTATTAAGCTGTTCACCTCATAAAAAATGAATGATCATGGGTAAAGGGTATGGATTTATGAATTCAGTGTCTGATGCCTTAGTAACCTCTAAACAATCCAAGTGATTATTCATTTGGCTATCAGGAAGATGGAAACTTGTATGTAATCTCTTTATCCAGATGCAGGGGAGGAGCTGCGATGAAACTATCAAAGAAACTGTACAACCCTAGAAGCAAACAAACACAAAAATGTTTTGAGTCATGTCCCCATCTAGTTTCTGTATTTTCTCTACTCTCAAAAAAGGCAGATGTACACATCTAAACAGCAAAATGGTATCATGTATAGGTAGAGCTAGTTGCCTAATGTTTTTCCATTAAGTGGTTGTAAGGCTTTCTTTTTAAATGATTGCTTATAGGCTTGTTCTTCTTTGCCTGAAACGTTCTTTATCATGTCTGCTCCGTGATAGTTCCCCTCCCAGCCCTGCATACACACACCCAGAGCTTCAGCAAAATTGTTACGCTATTAATGATACAGTTAAGGAAGATGTGTAGGATTCACAATGTTGAGAAAATCTGTCAGTGCCATGCAGGAGGGACACAATAGAAAACAAATGTCTGTCTATACCCATTCCTCTTAATGCAAGTAGATTTTTTTCTGTTCATTTTTCCCTTACCCAAAGAAGTATTTATTCTTACATTGCCAACATAGTTATGTTAGTTTGGCTGCTAAAAACTGAAAGTGCTACTGCTTTAGACAGCAGATGCTACCATCACCTTCTGAGGACTGGAGACTCTCTAGGATGCAGCTGCAGGTGAATACAAGGTGCTGAGCTTCATCTCTTCCAGTCTGTTTGGTGTCAAAGAGAGTATTTAGACACTGCTTAGACTCTTAATTTAGTAAAAAATCTCAAAGTTTGTTGGTTTTCCATTTCTGTCATTACTGAACAACAAACCAAACCCAAACATATTCTAAGGGTAGTAAATATTCTCAAATTTACCGGTATCCTCATATATCTAGTGTGAGAAAGAAAGTTCAGTAACATTACCTGTAACTGATTTGTCCCCAGCACTCACCTTTCAGAAACAACATGCAAAGCTAAGAGTAACAGCTGTGTTTCCAAGACTGTGTCTTTTTAACTTTCCATTCAGAAATAATCACTGATTTTAGGTTCCTAGTTTGCAAATATTCAAAGTTAGGTAAGAATATTTTTTTTTCCCTTCTTTTTAAAAAGTCAGAATGTGGATGTCTTCATCTAAGCTAGTTGTTTAAATTCTTTGTAATCAAGAAGAGAAATTAGTACTTCTGGGGACTGACTCATTTGAGATGATTGCTACAGAAGGATGTTTCTCTGGGTTGATTAGAAGGGAGACTATGTGAGTAGTCAGGTCAGGTAGTTACATCTGACCTTGCAGATATTTATTTATATGCTGAGGGAAACGATTTCTACTGTTTGCATGAATATTTTTCTTACTAAGTGTATTGATGAGATGAATAAAAGGAGTCTGTTGCAAAGAGTGTCTTAAAGTAAGACATACAATTATTACAAGTATGTTTTACAAATTTCCGCAGATCATTAAAATAACAAATGTAGGCACTTTAAAACAGTCTTTCTATTTACCTGTCAAGACCTGATTTCAAAGTTTTGTCCCCCTACAATAGTTAATAACACTGGAACACCCACATGAATGCTGCTTCGTAGCTTTGCTTTGGCTCTTACAATGTCAGTTCTACAACTTCAGTAAGAGAAATGCAGCCCTGAAATGAATGTTTGATTGCTTTGGAGGTCCTTAGTTGGCTTTAAATGCAAACTGAAATTCTACTTTGTTTATCTCCAAGATAAACATATATTTTCTGAGCTCTGTTTAAGGAAACTTGCCTAAAATGTTTTGATTTCAGTTTCTTCTAAGAACTTTCTGAAATTTTTTATTAAACTTGTGAATTTTTGTTTCCTGCAGCGGGGAGCTTGGGGCAATTCTGTGGTTGCAAGAGTTTAAAGGGAACTATGAGAGCTAACAATGGTCTAGAAGAATGCAGAAAAGTAGCGTATGTTAGTGAATGAAAATAAACCGGGATAACTTTTTCTCTCGTATGCCCCTACCTCTTCTTGCACAAATCCAATCTGTTGTCTCTAGCTGTACCTATATAACTTCCATTAGAGCCAGTGGAAAATAGACATCTCTGTTATCTCTGTCAATTACAAACTGGTCATTGATCTTCCCAAAAACATGAAGGTTGACAGTTTGGCCCCAAAACATTTGGGATCTAGTGTTCTTGGGTACTGTTGTGCCTTGACACAGCTGTCACTCCTGGCCCTATGTTACTGGGGGTTTTTTTGTTGTTGTTTTTTGGTTTTTTTTTTAATTTTAGTACTGATTTAAAAATAACTTTTTATATCTACTTTTAAGGAGCTCTACCATGTACCAAATGGCATGTCTCCAGTGAAGCTCTCTCATGGGATGGTGTATGGCGTCGTGCACCGAACTGACAACAACCATAAGAGAGAAATGGTGGTTTATGGCTGGTCAGCTGATCAACTGAAAGAGGAGATGAATTACATTAAAGAAGTGAGTTATGCTTTCAGCTTCAAAATTTGTCAGATATCCTTTCCGTATATTCAGGTAGAGCTGTGAAGTGTATATGGGATGACTGATGTCTAGTTGAACACCTGAATTTGAATTGGGAACCTACTCTGAGGCTAAAGACTTGCCTTGTTAGTATTCAAGTTGGAAAAAAAGCATGCTTTATACCTGGGAACTGCATGGTCCAAACTCAAGGCCTCTGTGCCAAGTGATACTTGTTAATGCTTGCTGACTGGGCTACAGCTGGGCAAGCAAACTGCCAAACAGATCTTGGGGTTCCTGTCCTGAAGCCTTCATAATTTCAGATATGATACAGAAGAAACTATGTAAATAGACACCTGCAAGGATAAACTCTCTCCTCTCTTCCTGTGCTTCTCCTGTCCCCAAGCTCCCTGGTTTTGAAAAGGCTCCTAAATTAGGTGACATAGTAAAATCACTTGGGTATATTTTGGGGCAGCCTTAAAATAGCCAGCCTAATAAGGATGACTTTGTACTACTTTCTCTGTGTGTGCTCACTTATCGTAATTGGCAGAAGCTCTCCTGAAAGAAAGAAAAGGGGGGGAAAAAAAAAAAGCAGCATTTCTGATGCTGCTGTTTTCTGTGCTTGAAACTCAGCATCTCTTTGCCTGTCAGTCCTTGGCTCTCAGGCAATAACCCCCTACTTAGCCCAGGACAAATAATTTGACCTTCTCTTTCCATCCACCTTCACCACCCAGGAAGCAATTGGTCAAGTGTTATCATGTTACGCTGATTCAAGTGCAAACTGAGTTGATATCAAAGGGAGGAACACTGAGTCAAGCCAGCAGTGTACGACACTGTAATTATGTGTCCTAACATCTGTCTGGTCTCTAGCTATCAGCGCTTGCATCTCTCCTTTAGTACTCACAGTTTGTTAGGTCCTAGCATTCACCACTCTCAAGTTCCTGCACCCAGAGTTAAGAGTACGTCACTGCTGCGGTGGAGGTGAGGCACACAAGCTGCCTCAGCTGCTGGTTTGTTTCCTGCCTGGGTAGTTTATCTTCCCTTCTGGGGTGGTGTCCAGGATGGGTGAATCGGCACGTGGCATGGCCAGCAACTTGGGCTGTGCTGTTTGTAGTACCTGGCACAGGTTGCTTGGACCGGGACCATCTCCCTGCCCTTTTCTGTTCACAGCTGGCTTGTGGCATGGAGGGACGTGTCGGACCAGGTGAACTGCATGTCTTGCATGTGTGTTCAGGGTACTCATCCTTTCGGGAAAAAGTGGGAAAGACATGGGAAAAGACGTACTGGCCCTTGCTTTCCTGTCCTCTGGAAGCTGTGTTTAGCTATGCTAATTTGTGAACTTTGGTCTGCCGGAGAAGTTTGTCTTTAAAAGTAGAGTCTTAAACAAGAGTCCTCAGCTTGTGCCACGTATGTGCTGACTTAAATAGACCAAAAATGATGGGCTACGTCAGAACTGCTGACAGTTTCCTCTGTATCTGAGTCAAATTTGCACCTTGCAAAAGGGTGTGTGCGTGTGTGTGCATGCATATGTGTGGGTAGGGACAGAGCAAGGGGTGCTTTCCTGAGGTGAAGTGCAGGAGTCAGCTTCCTTCTGTGTTTCTGATCCTAAAGGGAGCACGTAGTTTGGGATAGGTTTGTGCCTGCTCCTGGCATAGATTTGGTGGCCAATGCCCCTCTTTCTGGGAGGGAGTGGGTACACTGCAGAGCTGCTAGAAACAACCCCTCTTCTGTAAGGCCCTACTAATGTTTTCCCCTTGCTCCTTCCCCAAGCCTGTGCAGAGATGAGGGTTCAGTCCCCTAGATTATCTGCAATCAGTCAGTGTTTGATGGGGGGGTGGGGAGAAAGAAAAAAAAAAAGTTTGAACTATGTAGCTGGAAGCTAGACTGTAGATAAACACTTAACTAGTGTTTACCATGTGTGCTCTTGAGAAGATTGGTTCTGTGGATGATTGCAATGGCATGTAAACCCAAGTTGGCTTCCAGCATGTGCTTTTTTCTTTTTTCTTTTTTTTTTCTTTTCTTTTCTTAGAAATGCAAAGTATAATTTGCATCAATAGTTCTTAAATGAAATCAAATTGAGTACTCGGTTCTTCAGATTTGAAATTACATTGGTAAATTTATGCTAATATATTGTTTAGCTAGATACAAGCCTAAAAGTCCAAAATTAAAGGGTTTATCTTCAAAGCATACTCTGAGAAAACTATTTAACCACTTTTGAAAGTATGAAAGTGTATTTAATGCATGTGTAGATTTTTTTTTTCCAGAAAGAAAACACTATGTGCTCAAATTAAAATTAATTCCTTTAGTAATCAGGTTAGAATGAGTTATGGATTATTCAATTGAAATTATTTAAAATATTCATTTACAAGTGTTAAAGTATGTACAGAGAAGTTTAGAATTACTCAGATTACTTATCATCCCTATGTCAATAAGTCCTGAAACTTAAGTTTTTGTCTTGTTCTTAAGAGTAAATTGCTGTTGATGAAAAGGTAGATTAATAAGGGAAATTACTGAAAGTAACAATGAAGGACATAGAAAAAAAAAATCATGTCCTAGTATAAACAGTATCATCAGTAAGCTTGATAAAGGCATTTGATTTTTCTGACACCAGGTGAGAGCAACTCTGGAAAAAGTAAGAAAGAAAATGTATGGTGAATATGATGAAATGAAACGAAAAATACAGCAGCTTACGAATGAACTGAAAGTAAGTATGTATTCATTTGTAGGGATGAATAACTGTCCTGGTGTTATCTAGCAACTTTTTTTTTTTTTTTTCTTCAGCAGAACAGAAATTCAGACCACGCCAGTTCATTGTTTTATGTGACATCTATACTTTTCTTTATTTTTCCCTCCAGGAAGGTAAAGTAGGACAGGGATGCTTTTGCATATGGAATTACAAATTGCTTCTTGGAAATAAAAGAATGATCTTGATAGCATTGTCTGTGTGTGTTGGTAATTAGCAGAGATGTTTGTACCAGTAAGCTGCCAGGTGAATTGAATGAATAAGTTATATAATTAGGAGCAATGTGCAACTTAGTTGATGTCATCTCAACAGACTTTGCTCTGTAAGTGCATGACAGTTCTAAAAATGGCTTACCTTTTGGTTCTTAATTGAACCTTTCAATGGTCATTCAGTCACCTCTCTTTCTTCTGACATGCTGCTTTAGCAATAAAAGCTGCTGCAGTCTGTAGAAATATCCTTCACATTACACTGCTGAGTTCTTTGGTCCAAAAAAATCTCTCTGAAAACTTGCTGTGGATTTTATTTTCAACATTGATTTTCACAGCCCTGGTTCAGATAAGTTTTGGCAATTAAACGTATTCTGACTTCAAATGACTGCGACCCTGACTCCCTGACTTGTGCCCTTCTGCCATCCTCATTTGGAGACTGTCAGTTCCCTGCATGCTGTATTATGTGTAAAGATCAGAACTTACTGTTAAACTGGTACTTTTATTCTGTGGCAACTAGTCTCAAAAAAAAAAAAAAAAATTAGCGTGACTTGAGAGGAGGGAGAGAAAACTGAATTTCTGTAAACTATGTTAAATAGTCTTAATGATCCAACAAAGTGAGTCCCCCACCCAGTATCCCTGTAGGCAAATGCTGATTCAGATGCAGTTTGTCATCTTTGCTGCTGATCCTTACTGAATAGCAGTGGTGATATTCTGTACTTCCAGATCTTCTGTCAGACCAGTAGAAATCCTGCATGAGTCTGAACATCTCTCTTAATTAAGGGTTTCTGACCAGCTCTGACAAAATCTCTAGTTCTGAAGCAAATTAGCAGTTTATGAAGCACTGCTTCTGACATAAATGGCACATTACGAGACACCCTCCTACCTTTTTTAATACCTTAGAGTGCCTGAAAGAAAACACAAGTGCTGTTCTATTTAATATTACATGCTTTTTTTTGTTTGGTTCATTCATTTTTGGGTTTGGTTTTACGTGACTGCCATCTTTCATGCTATATGGGGATCCTTCATATACTCTTTGCTTCAGCTTTGAATCACTATGCTTTTCCCATGAATTTCCAGGACTACTTTTTGTTTATAAAATTTGTTTGAGGTTTGTACTTCCAATATCCTGCCCTGGACACTATGCTTCTTTACACAAGTTCTTATCTTGTAACTTTCTTAATCCATCCAAAGTATTTCTGCTTTTGTTTGTTTGTTTTAACATGAGCACATGTTTATATAGGGTTAACAGCAACTACTTGGCTTCTGCTCCCTATGCTGACCTAATCTGTGTATGACTTGGTTACTAAACACTAATTGTTTTCCATATCGGTCCCTAGTGTCCTTACGTTTTTATCAAGAAACAAATGTGGTCCATCTAAGAATGTGAGTTGGGCTGGCCTCCATTAGTAACTCTTTTTTTCTCTTTATTATGGGATGGTCCATTTATACTGTTTGGGTTTTGCTCTCTTAAACAATGTCATTTTGTGCCTTTCCCCCCCCCCCCCCCCTCACCACCCGCTGCGATACT